TGCTTTTAGAAAAAATTTTTGTCCCCTTACCAAACCCTGCACTTCTGGAAGAACTTTTGTTGCATCTTTATTTCAGTACACAGTAAAATTAAAGGCATAATTTATTAAAGAACCATTAATCTGACAATTGTCAATACATGCAAGGAAAATAAACATTTTATCAATAAAAATGATTTGTGTTAAGTCCCACTGCTCACTAATCCACTACCACATGCAGCATATCTAGAGCATCTGCTCAAAAGCTGTCAATTCTATGTACTACACTCTCTGATATGCCATGGAAAGAAATCCCAGATCTACTTCATAACATTTCTTCCAATGTATTATTTCTGTTAACCAGAGCCAATTTCATTCAATAATGCAGTTCTAACTACCAACCAAAACAATAAATGACCAACAGCAAAATAAGAGCTAGACTCTGAAACTGCTGATGCCCTATTAGAAACTATTAAATAAAAAGGAGAGAAAGTCCAGAAAACTGCAGCATAAGAAATTTGTAACAAGAGTTCATCAAGTTATTTAAATCATTAAATATAACTTTAGAAGTTAAATATAAATTAAAGCATGTCTCTTTTAGTCACTAAATAAAAGCACTACACTACTAGCATAAAATAGTGCAAGTGCATTACTTTGATTACATCGCTTCAATAAAAAATATTACATAAATCTGCTTAACTTCAAGCAAACTGGCAATATTTGATAAACTCAGCCCTCCAGCTGGTCAGCTGGTATCTGCCCCTATGTCATATTTAGGATGAAACTGAGTTTTCAAGTCACACGGAGCACCAAACACAACAGTAATTAATTACTGTTAATTATATTTTTAAAGCAACTTCTAATTTTACTGACGATATAAAAGAGGAACAAAATGCAGTTTCCTCAGCAATATTTATTTTTGGCCCCAAGTGCAAAGCACTTTTCTTTGTCTCTTGGAAACTAGGCCAAGTCAATACTCAGATATGCAGAGTGTGACACTAGGTAATATGCTTCCATGTAACACTTCCTTTTTACACTCCACAATCCCTTGTGGAGTAACAGCTAGACTGAGAAAGACAACCCCATTTTAAAACATATGTTGTTTCCATGCTTGTCAATAATCCCTTTTCACATTGATAAAATTGTAATACTAACCAAAGTTACGTAAGGCTTCATCTCCCATGCTTGTATGTTTGTGTTGTCTATTATTATAGGAGAGATTCCCATTTCAAATGCTTCTTTGGCTGAAAAACACACATGTAAAAATAGTGTGACATAGTTAATTTCACTACAATAGGGCGAACACAAAACATTTATACTAATTCTCTAAATTTGTTCTATTTTTAAGTAAGTAATCCATAATGATTAACCACTGTGCAAAGAACTCTTGCCACAGCTTGATCTGATTCAAGGCCCTCGACTTCAAAAATCCCCCCCCCCCGTGTGTAAAGCTACTGAGATGTGACATTATCCTTTCGAATTAAGGCATGTATGATAATCAAGGAATGAAAATGCAGACGTGAAATGCACCAAGATGACTAATCAATCAGTATATCAAACTAAAAAAAACTACATGATCACCTTAAAGTGGACTTCTTTGTAGCATACAAAATTCCTGGCTTTATAACAGTCTTAAGATTAGTCCACTCTGTAAACTGCATAAAATATGAAAAAAATCAAAAGAATTATTGTAATTCAAACACACAGTAACGAAATGTTTAGAACTACTAGCTTTGTGACACAGCACCATGATTCTGTAGCTACCTTACAATGTGTCTGCACAATCAAAGTTGTCACTGAATCACACACTTCTTATTAACCCATTTCTCCACTGGCAGAAAGTTGACAGTAGAGAAGTGATCAGGGTTCAAATTTAGGAAGTAACAGCTTAAAAAGAGTTGTTCTATGGTGAGTTTAGTGTAACCCACTGTCAAAAAAGAAACTGATTATGGAAAGTGAAAAAAAAAAATCATTTAGTCAGTCTTGTTCTTATTATTTTGTTTTAAACTTGCCAACAATTTAGTGCTTGAGAGAAAAAAAAATAAGAGCAGGAAAATATTTGTGTTATTTGTATCAACATCCTCATTACTTATTGATTATGCATATCATAATGGCTCCTCTCAGAAGAAATATTTCTGGGAGATGGTACAGATAAGCACTCCAGAAATGAGACACAACCCAAAATGACAAAACATGAGGATGAAACAAAGACACTGGCCTTTTAAACTCAAAACCATACAATGAACAGATGACTTCTGAGTTTGTGCTCATAGTCTTTCTCCACAGGTATTAAAAAATGCTTCTCTGATGGGATAAATGTTTGCCCTGTGACACAGGCATTAGGAGATGGGGCAGCTTTCTTAAACAACACACAAGAATTAACTGCAAATGAGCAAGTCAATCCTGTACTTCTCACCTCGTTTCCTGTTCCAGTCATGAGCTTCCCCTAAGCAATTAGGATCATAATGGTATTGTCCATGTTTATAAAAGTAATCATCAGTACTAAGAATGACTCCATCTGGGTTATCCTCCAGCAAATTCCTGTGAAAGATCAAGATGTAAATAGCTTTTCCCCCTTCTCCTTCCAAGCCCTGATACCTCCTACCATACATAACATTTTTTTTAGTCTCTTTCACAAAACCAAGATTATTTGTAATAGAAGTGGCAAATATAGGTAAGGGGAGAAAAAATATAAAATCACCCTCCAGTGAAATAAAATCTATAATAATTTCCCTCCTTTTACAGTGGCTGAGGATTAGCTAGGGGAGAGAGGTGATAAAGGTTCCCTACAAGCCTCATTTCAAAACAACAAGGGAGGTATTTTTCCATCTACATGTAGTGACACCCTTTCACTCTGACAAATACACAGTCTGCACCAAATGTTTCAGGTGCAGCCAAAAGAGTCTGAGCTCAATCTAGGCCTTAGGAGAGAAAGAAAAGAAAGAAAAAATTCACCCCAAGAAGCTTCACACATACTAATCATACAAAAGAATTCCCAGTAAAAAGCTGGCATATTTCCATCAATGTTATTTGAAGGAAACATCCTTCAAGTAACACTTGCAGGGTGAAACATAACATCAGCAGGGACTGAAAGAACACAGCAGACCTAACACTAAGGCAATGACACACTGCGGGCAAACTCCTTCATCCTGTGACAGAAGTTAAACCTAACACTTCCTATTTCAATTTCCTCCAGAGGTCAAGGAGCTACGAGCAACTCAGCTCTCTGTAATTATTATTACTCATCATGCTGTGCGTGCCACGTAGCTGGCAATCAGGGTATAAGCATAACTATTTGCAATATCAGAAAACTGTCTCTGCCTGTGCTAAATCCTGTGCACAATTAAGCAATTTCTTTTAGAAGCTCACAATATAAATGTTCTACCTTGCCAAATATGATTTTCCTGATCCTGGAACACCTCTGAGAAGAACAAGTACTTGACCTATAAGGTGCATCTTTTTTCTCATCATGTGACAAACACGTGGCTGCTGTGCTTGCGAGAGGTTCAATTTTGAGTTTCTATCTTGATTTCCCCATACCTTCAGAGAAGGGTTGCCATCCCAGGCATTTGAAACCACTGGGGAGGAAAGAAAAAGTCCTTTTTCCAGAGTCCTATAGTCCGAAACAGGTCTCCATTGCCCTGGACTGGGAGCCACAGGAACTACAAAGCTGTGATTTCCACTGGATGGATAAAACGCAGGAGCCATGACATTCCAGTGTTTGTGAGACTGACATGATGGTGTAGAAAGATTTAAGTTATAACCCTGCTGAGTCTGCTGAAAATCTGCAGGGTTTTGTGTTTTGAAACTGGATGTTTCAGGAGAGAGACATGCCTCTGGAAGAGAAGTGTTCTGATGACTGTTAAAGGCAGTCACTACCTCTTCATGCTGTTCCAGGCACCTTGAATTAGGATTTCCAGTGACAGCTACTCCAAGTTCCAGAGGTCTTTGGGAGGACTCATCAGAAGCAGCACACACACTTCTTTGATCCAAAACAGTATCCTGTGTCTGATCAGAATTTTCACATGGTATTTCTCCATTTGATTGTTTATATACTTCTGAAGATACATCATGTTGAACATGCATTTCCGACAAATCAGAACCTTCTGGCATCTGTGCAAAATTGTCTGATGCAGCTGGTGAACTTGCCTGGATGCTCAGGTGACTCACTGGGGGCTGAGAACTACAGAAGTTTTCTAAAACCTCATTATTTGTCTCTCCTTGCTGTGGAAAAAGTAGGACATTGGAACCTGAGTCAGATTCTTCCCACTCAGGAAATTCAATAAAGCCATCATGTTCCACAGGGTTCATTTGGACTATTTGGCCATTTGCAGAATCAGGCAATTCATCACTCAAGCTGTAACTCTGAAAGGCATTTTCTATTAAGGAATCTAGTTCTTCAGTCAGCTGCACATCAGGTGATAGCACCTTTCCTATTGCTTTTTCAGAATTACTTTGTTCTGCAGTACTTTCCCACATTCTTTCACTTGCAACAGATCTTTGCTGATTAACAAGAGCTAATGATGATGATGCTGAATCAAAACCCAAGGTTTTTGAAGATGCTTCCCCTTTGGCATGGGTGGACAGCTCTAGCAGATGATCCATAGCGTTTTCTACTGTTGAATAAGACAGAGAGGACAAAGCATGGTCAGCTGGACAAACAAATGCTGATGTGAATGCAATTTTTTTACCTGAAGCAGCATTTATCACAGCTAAAGAAACAACCAAAAGACAGTTCAACCATTCATCTTTAAACAAAGCTTCTGCAACTCCCTTGATCTGTTTCACATTAGAAATAAAGGCAGAACTCTATAATAGAGACGTATTGAAAAATAATAACCTACTAAGCACGAAGAATCACTAAGGAAATAGTGTCTAAAAATTACTAAGTTTAACTGGAAAAATATCTGAACTGGATGTTTAAATGGATACTTGTTTCTAATCTATCTCATATAGGTGAAACAAACTGGAAAACACTACTGAGGATGAAAGAGAGGAAAGTATGCAAAATACTTTCATTACAGCCAATTTAAAATGCACATTTAATACAGCCTGTGTCTGCATGAATTCTTTGCAAAGCCACCAAGCAGAGCATAGGTTACCAGTGATCAGCATGAACAAAATGAAAACCTGGCACAAGTATCATCCCTGAGGCCTGAAGCAAAGCTGCTGTTTTCCTGACAGTGTAGCAAAAAGTGTGCAAAAGGAGTCAGACTTTAATGGACTTAGACATGTCAAACAAAATCTTCATTGCCCTTACATCTTCTGTACTATGTAAGAGCAACTTTATATTACTCATATGAAAATATGTTGATCATTCAATTTTTAAACTACTGCTTAAAACCACCATTTTAAACTACTGCAGCACTATGGACTCTGTGTATTTACTGAATTCTCCAATAAAGTGTAGATAAATCTGTGATTTTGATAAAGGTGAATCTTAATAAGAGTTCAAAGTTTGAATCAGGAATTCCATCAAATTCAATTTCAAAAGGAACAACAATAATGGTGCTCTCACATTTGTAATTAAGTTATAAACTCTGTACAATTTAGGCAACAAAACAGTCCTTCAATGGCTACCTAGCTTTTGTGTCTATAAAAAAATGCCTAAATCTGCCTTCTTTGCAGAAATGCTTAGAAAAATCTCAGCTAGTCACATCTGATTGTATGAGTATAGATTGATTAAAATGTTCCATATATGACTTACTCCCCTGTCAAATAACTCCTCAGATTTTGCTACGCAGCATCTCATCCAGTACTTTTATTAGAAGCAAATGAACTTGCATATAGAAGAATTTCAAAACCATGAAAAAATGGGAAGGACTGGGCACAGATGTGAAAATAGTCTGTCAGGAGAGGTAGGTATGTAGCTTGGCAGAATACAGGGGAAGAAACACAGTTCAAACAAGGCTGCAGAGAATTCGGCATGACAAACAGAATTTATACTGCAAAAACTAACCCTCAGTGGAGACGCAAAGATGGCAACGCAAAATAAAAGTAAAACAAAAGCTCAATTCAAGTATTAAAGGAAAAACAAATGCTGCCAGGACCACATGTGGCATACCATTAAAAAACCGTGATCTAGAACATGAAATACCCCTCCTGCAGAAACAGTTTAGACATCTAGCAGACACATTGGAAAAATCAGATTCTCCTCACAGCTCCACCACTGCCTGCTCTGTGACACAGGACAATCCACTCTAAACTGCACCTCCATTTACAGAGCACACTGCTACTGCAAATCACTCATAGAAACATTGTCAGACTTGGAGAATCTTGCACAGAAAGAGCTGTAAAATTTCAAAATATTATGACTCACCTGCTCATTAAAAGCTAAACTCACAAATATGCTTGCAACACACCCACACCAACTTTCCTGGAGTCACCCTAGTTAAGAGCTGTTTGCATATGACACGAAACTGTAATGCCAGCAGTACACTATTTACCTTTGAAATCACATTCAGACAGGACCATATAAACCACACTAGGATCTAGGTCAGAAAACATCTCTGACAGGCTGTTGAAGAGCTCTTCTTTATTGACATAATGCACTGCTTGTGACACTAAGTGGCTTGGGACCCCTTGGGACACAGCAACAGCAATTCTGTCAGAATTGCCATTCTTCTGAGAAGGACTTCCACCAGTTTTTCTTCTCCGTGGCATTTTGTTTCCTGAAAACCAGTGTGCTTTTCCTTTTGGGTTTTTTCACATGAGGCTGACAGCACCAAGCTCAAAAATGACAAAAAAAGCTCTCATAACTGGGATACACATAGCAGAAATAGCAGACCTGGAATAAAAAGAGAACAGAGACATTTTAATAAAATACACTGTCACTATTTAGATAGCTAAGAGATCAAAAAAACCCATAAGCACACAGGAAAGTGTTTTCTAGAAGTCTGCCTTTCTTCTCTTCAGATGGCTGACAGCTAAAGACTAGCCTTATTTTCCAGCTAACTAGACACTGAATCTGCATCTGGAAGCGAAAACAAATAAAATGCAGCTTAAAAGAAAAGTCCACTGAAAGTCTGCAATGCAAGGCAGCCAGTTCAGAAATATTCCTCTGCTACTGATGACCAGGTAATATTAAGGAACATCTACATTCTGTTAACATTCAGAAGATTTACTCCTCTTACAAAAGTACTGGAAAACGTAACAGACCTCTCCAAATCTTCAAGAAGTCTTTCATGACTTCCCTCCATCCATGATCTTTTAAGAGTAAACAGTTGGGATTCTTCAATTTTCAGGCAGTGACACAGGTTGCCCAGAGAGGTTGTGAAGTCTTCAATTGCCCCATTTGTATATATTTTTAAATTTCTGTGAACAATTTAAGTATGCTGACTGCATACATATAAAAGAAGTTGGTTTGGTTTTAATTGTTTGGTGGTGGTGGCTTTTCTTATTATTTTGGTTTGATTTTGGGGTTTTTGAACCATCTTTTAATTTCAAACTTATAAAATATTTATCATGTAATGGTCACATGAATCTTCTGGCTTTTAAAAAACACACATGCACATATATATACTGACACACTTGGGACTGAAAAAAAGAAATCTGTATTTGTAATACAAATAAAATAGCAATGGCACAGAACTTACAGTTTCAGCTTCACTGAGATGCCCCGCAGTGGGTCCCTTCTCATCTTTCCAAAACAACCACTGATGGCACTTTTAATAAAGATCTGCTGTTAAAAAATATAATGCACTTTTCTGTCAGGAAACCATACTTTCTAACATACAAATCAGACGTCAGCAGAAGTGGATGGTTCCTCCTGACAAAGGAGTATTCAGAACACAAATTAGAATTTGTACTTTGCTCACTTTAAGCAAAGCTTTAACATCAAGCTATACACGTAATTGGTTTTAGTAGATTAAGGACAGCTAACATTTTAAATAAGTACCCAACACGTCAAGTTGATCTCAAGTGTAAGTTTTTTTAAGGATGACATCTACTTGATTTCAGCTTTTAGACTATTTCTCATGTAAAAAAGCTGACTTAGGTCAGGTAAAGAAATAACACAACGGCAGCAGAATTAGATAGGAATAAACATAAGTCTCCTCACTTGTCATTCCACTTGGTTCTTCACCACAGTTCTTAAGCATCTTGAGAAGATCTACATATCCGTGCTGGTCAAGATTTGTTCCTTCGTGTGGGAAATTAGGCAAAGAAAACCTGGTATATCAAAATAAGGTTATGTTACTTACACCACTTAATTGCAATGCCCTAGTGGTGCTAAGAAACTACACTTCTGTTCATCAAAGTGGCCACAAACTCCTAATCCACTGTGTACACAAAGATGTTAGATCTACTCAAAGTCTGATTTAATTCCAGTGTATGTATTAGGCTACAGCTCACTCCCAGCAACAGTCTTGTGCTTGTAAACAAAGCAAAAAATACCAAACAAAACAAAACTGAGCATGTACACCTAAATCAGGCAAGGAATTTCAAACAAATATTCTGTCACACTCCTAACATGACAGGCTGATGGCTCAATTACTTTATAATACTATTTGCAAGAGATGGAGAAACACATTTCCCATTTTGCATCTAACCTCATTCCACTGCTCCAAAGCATTAAGAACTGCTATCAAAACACAGAGAGCACCTCATGGAAGCAAAAACTCAATAATGAGAATCTAAATTTAGAAAGTAAAAGACAAGTTCCAGACAGAGAATGTTATTCACCTCACTCTCAAACATCTGGCTTCAGAAAAATCACACCAGGAAAGTTTGAAAAGCCATTCAGCAGTTTTATAGAACAACATTTAACAAAGGTTATTTACATATTTGTTCATTTGCACTTTGAGGTTTCATAAAGGGAGCAATTAAGTATTCAAATACAAGCACAAGAGAAGAAAGCAGCCAATGAAATCAAACTGAGACCAATTCTAGTTGTATTATAAAACAAGAAGCTTTTCCTTTTGGACAATGTTACGGTCTCTAAAAAACAGAGTGCCTTCCAGCAGGTTTTTCTCAATAAGTATAAGAGTAGCAAAGAAGATAGTTTGGAAGCCTTTTGCATTCTTCCACTTCTGCCAGTAGTCAGCAACAGAACAGATCACCTAAACACTTTGTTATTGAATGTGAAAATCTATACCCAGCTAGAGGCAAAGTGGTTCTGAAAACACTTCAAGCATCTTTTCTGCTCTTGCCTTCTCCCACCCAGTGTTATTTCCACTGGTTGTTCCAAGGGCCTTGGCTAGTTCAACAGTTTTAAGTAAGATTCTCTTTTTCACATCAAATTCTGTCAAAATGCAAGACACTGACATATAGGTCTCATTCCTAACTAACTTGCACACACTTGTTTTATGCAATCTGTTCTGGTAGGATTTTTTTCCACTTCTGTGATTTTTAATTCTGGTCAAGCCCATAGAGTCTTTTGAAGCTACTGCAAAAATAAATCTTCGAGTATGAAACAAAACCCTCATCCAACTACACACACAGTTCAAGAATACATAACCAGCACAAACCCATCTGAAGGAGACGCTTAGGAAGCAAACACAACTGGCAGGAAGAACAGTTTGCTAGCATGGACTCAAAAGCCCTTTTCCACATGCCATGCCAGGAAAAGAAGTCAACCTGCAGTGGCAGCCAGCTGGTGTTTACAGAAGGTGTCAAACTCCATGTCATGTGGTTTCCTTCTAAATCCATGAAGCTGCTCTTGCTAGAGGCCCTGCATACAGGTGAGCACAAGCTCCAAGAGAGGCACAGACAGATTTGCAGGATGCACATGATTAAACCAGTGAGGTAGGAGGAGACCCATAAGCAAGAGCATTCTCTGGCACCAGGTCTGCTTGTAAAGAGCTACTACTTCAGTACTCACCTTCCTTTTGCTGTGTGCTGAAGGACAAAGCTTGGACTGTGGAAAAAAACAAGTGGCCTTGGGATTATGGAGAGTGCAGATATGCAGCTTGCCCAGTCCAGAGACTGCTCAAAACTCAGGCGAAGGGCAGTGAATGAAACTAACACACCTCTGTGAAATTAACAGTTGCTCTGCACAACAGAATTTCCTTTCTTGTCCTCTCCAGATGAACTTTCATGTCTCTGAGAAGCCTGTATACAACAGACAGCAGTGCCTGGACCTTGTACTTCAAGACTTGGTGCCCCTCTGAGTTGCTGTAAATAGCTTGTAATCTTTCATAAATTGCAACTCTGGCAATATCTAGCTAAGGAGCTATGACATAGCATATTTCATCTAATAAAAAAAGGAAAGTTTAACCTTATAAAGCTGAGCTGGATTCTCCTAATGGGGTTAATTTTAATACTCCTGTATTCTGCTACATTACTGTTTCCTGTTCCTCAAGGAATTTTATTTTCCAGTGACTGAGACCTGGCCAAAGGATGACCATTTCTTTTAGTGCTTGGAAAGCCAGCAAAAAGGTGGCAGGGAGGGTGAGGACTGGTTCTATCAATGTGAGAAGACACTGTGACAGAGGACTGTTAATGAAAATCACAAATGATGCTTATTATTATGGGCACACACATGCAGGTGACATTATGGAGGGAAGGAAAAGCAGAACATTAATGGAATACTTATATAGATTTTCTGCACTGGCAACAGTCAGGGCTGGCAATAAATGCAAATACTACTTTTCCCAAATCTTGGCTTGCTTTAGCTGTTGATGCAAATGAAGACAGGTTTACTTTATTCTTACAAATGATGCCACAACTCTAAACCAGCTGGCAACAAAGGGAAGTGGCTGTCAAAGACTCAGGCTCCAGAGCACAAATCTTCAGACCGATGTAAACACTTAACAGAGCTTCTGCAATGTGCCCAGGTCTTGGTTCTGGTGCCCCCACGAAGGTTTCCTGATTGCACACCTTTCCCTTGTGTGATACACAGAACAACTCAAAGGTAGCACTGTCTGGCCAACTTTCTCCAATATAATCTCTCCCTACCTGAAGGTCTGCTTGAAACCTTCAACCCACAATGCATACAGTGCTGCACTCTGGTGATCCCCAGCTGTCACTTCCCTCCTAATATCCTCATGCAGTTTTCAGTGCTGTGATTCTAAATGAAGGTTTTTTGCACACTGGGACAAAGCTGAAGCACAAGAAATTTTTGAACTTCTGCAAGCAAGGGCTCCAATACAGAAACAAAACAAAGGTGTGCCCAGGTTTGCAGAAAGCACTTGCAAGAACAGGAAACTGATGAGATCATGACTGCTGGAGCATCACAGCACAAGGTGCGTTGGAACTCGAGTCAAGATTTTTCACCAAGTTATCTATTAACCAGTGACCTCAGAACAGAAATAGCCACAGTGAGCTGAGGAGGCAGGTTGGAAATGCACATAAAACAGTTTGTGACTTTTGCTGGTTGTCCACGTACAACAGCAACTTGAGGACCACTCCAGAATTCCCCAAACAGGAATATACCAGAAATCATCATAGGAGTAAGAACAGCTTATTCATGGAGACATCTTAAATGTTTGCTGGGAAAAAAAAAAATCACCTATCAGGCCCTAGGCTGGAAACTACATTACACAGACTTATCAGGGCAATTATATCTACTTCGTGCATTCAGATGTACTCCCACTGCTGAATGCACTGGGCCAGCTGAACACGGCACACACACACAGAGCCATTAAAATACTATTCTGAACTTAATATAAACCACAGACAGATGACCTCATCCTGATCTAGGTATACCAACAAAAAGTTTACAG